AGGGATTTAAATGTTATCTTGACATTTTCGATTCTTTTGGATGAAAGGTAGAATAACAATAATGGCAGTGACTTTAACAATGGCATCTCCCTGTTCTCTTTTGTCCTTGGGAGATTTAAGAAAAAGGCAAGGAGACATGACGTATTTTCCAACTGCTTATTCCATTATTTATAAATACTGTATATCCTAAGGGCCAGGAGCAGCTCCTTAAGGTAGAAAGATGAACAAAGTAGACAAAGTCCAATAGATTTTATTTTTATAGGAGCAACAGATAATAGAGAAGCAAATAAGTACATGTGAAGACTATTTGAGGTGTGAATACTGTTTTGGTGAGTGGGTGAGGACTGTTGTTATTTTGTATAAAGTGATCACAGAAGACATCGTGGATGAGGTGCTGCATAAAAGGCTTTTGAAGAAAGCCAGGGAAGAAGTCACAGTACGTCGTGGAAAAGGTGTTCCAGACAAAGGAAGGAATATGAAGACTAAGTCAGGAGAGCACTTGGTGTCTTTCAGAAACATGGGAGCTTTCAAGAACACTTTACTCAGTGGGATGTAACACAACAAAAATATCATATAAAAATAGTAGTAAAATGAATGAAGTGTCTTATGTGCATGTACAAATCTATGAGCACCAAACCCATTTATCTGTATAACCAATACACAGTAATGAAAATATGGAAAAATAACATATAGGTGTATTTTTACTGATGGTTGTTATATATTAATCTATTGGGACATGGGCAAAATTGAACATTTTAAAGAAATTCTGTTTTTTCTTAAATTAGATCTTTTTCTGTATTTGTGGAACCAGTTCTTTGCCACTTTTATAGTAGCTATGGTTTTGAATGTTTACTGTGAGCTAGATACAGTGCTAAATGGTTTACAAATGTTTTATGTAGTAATTTTCTGAGTTCTAAAGACAGATTCACTGCCCAATTTCAAAAGCAATAAGTGGATGAAAAAGATTAGAACTTGGTTTTTCAAGTGATGACACATTCCAAACTAGTTCACTAAAGCTCAGATGAAATTGCATATTTTTAACTTAATATCATACACAAATTTTTTAAAATCCATGTCTATCAAATTTAGACGTTAGGTAAATTTCATTACTTTATATAGCTATGTTCTGTAAATTATATTCTTTAGAATACTTCATACAAAGATTTCAATTTTTTTATTTTAAAGAAAAAAACTCAAAATTTTGAAACAAAATAATAGGAAGGTAACAATGGTTAATACATTGCATATTGTTATCTTTAAATTAGTTACTTGGAGTACAAGATATTGGCATTTAACTGTCCAAACAATATTAGCACAAACCTTTCTTTTCAATGAACTAAGAGAAATTAGTGGTATAGCTATTTTAACTATCATATGATTATCATGTATATTATATATGATATCCATTTTAATTATCATATATATATATTGCTTTTTCCTTCCTTCTTTTCTCCATTCCCTCATCCCAGTGTCTCTTTCTTTTTGGAAGTTTTGTTCCATTTTAGAATATCTATTATACATTTTGGGTCTCATTTACTAAAAGATTTTAATTTTATGAGAAAAGTAATTCTATGACCAAATAATTTTTAGAAGCACTAGCTATATGGAGATATATATGCTATTCAAAAGTAGCCTTTAAAATGTTAAAATGCATCGAACATTTTCATGAGATGAATGTTTCTAAGTTACTAGAAGGGCTTTTTGTGAAATACTTTTCAATGTCCCAGTGGATAATTCACATAGCACCTAATATTTGAAATGGTGTTTGAGGTGTTTCAGCTCCTCTGGGCCATTACTGAGGTTCATTCGATTCAGGAGGTTTACTGCACTCCTATGAAAATGCGTGCTGGCTGTTTGTGACTGCAAAATCGCTTCTTTCCTGTTCTGCAGAGCTTCTCCAACCACAGGTTCAGAAGAACACAAGATGGTGGCCTGAATCACTGCTTCACTTATTTAAGTTCATTGCATATTTTCTACACGTTAAAAACTCCCTGAATTAGTATCACTCGGTAAGGCCACCTAGTTCACTTCTACAGGGACAACTCCTGGTTTGCGTTTCTGCGATCTTTCGGAAGTGTGTTTCTTGCAGATTCATGTTTTCCTCACACACATCTCCATGGAGTAGGATTCGTGAAGCTAACTGGCTGAAACTTGCGTTCATTCTCCTCTAGAAATGTATTCCAGAGCAGATAGTCTTTTCTCCCACCGAATTTAAGAGAATTTCATGCTAAGGCGGCAGAAGCTGAATATGTCAGAGCTATAAGGTCACCAGAGACGGACACCTTTCTAGAAATGGCCGCTGTTGGAAGGACCAGCACAAGCTCGAGGCAACTGCTTCTTTTCAGCAGCAATTTCAGTCAGCATGATATGCCTACAAGTGTGACAGCTGGCCCTGTTGGCCAATGGTTTTTTTGGCATCGGCGGTCCGTCAGCTGACAACTGAGACTTTTAATGATAACTGTCTATGGGGCCAAAGCACCCTGAAACTCTTCTGAAATGATTCCTCTAACTGCAATTTTATTGGCCAAGCAAATCTATGCCAAAGACTATAATACTAGTCTCCCACTCAATCCTCTTTCAGTCATCAAATTATACATTTTTTGTTTGGAAAAGAGCTATCCTCTGGGTGTTAAATACAGGCCTCAGAGAGGTTCTCCAATTGCTCAGTGTCACATAACAAGTCAGAATTCAACCAGGATTGGAAACACTTTGTGTCATCTTGTTTGCCAAATGCAAGGCTATTTCTGTAAGTTACATTCGTCTCACAATGTGCCATATCTGAGTCCTAGCGCTTCAGTTAGTGTTCTTTTCTGTAAACAAAGGGAACTGCCTGTGACTGAGGCAAGTAAGAGAAAGCTGTACCCTGGGTGGGTTGTTTAAAGAATCAAAGGAAGAGTTGAAAAATCAGGCCTTAGCAGAGGCAAAATGCGGGAAGTTGTAGGGACTTCAGACCCAGAAACCTGAGGCCCAATCTCTGGGTGTTACTTTGTGCATGTATTAGTGTTCTCTGTAGGTGTACAGTGTCCAAAGAACATTTTAATAGCTGGTCTCAGCTCTCAGCACAATGGTCACTATGAAGTTGTATATGAGAGAGTGAATTTCACTTTCTTATTTCATCAGGGCAAGGAGCGTGATCAAATATGATTGACAGTCACAGCCAGCAGAACCATGTGACATGAGAGAGGATCAGTTTGCCTGAAAGAAGAGTAGAGTGAGGTTCTGTTCCCTGGTGCCTGAGGAAGAAAGAATGCTGGGTGGGTCAAACCAAGAATTGGATCATGAACACTTCAGTGGAGTCAGAAGGGAAAACCTGACAAAAAAGTAGTCTGTAAACCCACTGAGCTCTGGCAGGGGCTTCCTCTTCTGTTCCTTTTTCATTATTTTCCCCTTTCTTCCCCACCATGCTTCTCTTTGGCTCTTCTGCACACTCAGGTGCAAGTGTACAAGCTCATCACACTTAGGTGTAAGATTCTCCTTGCGCTCCGTTGCTATTTGTTGAGGGAGGAATTTTAAATCTAAGAGATAGATTAGAGACAGACATTACTCAGGTGCTGGGGAGCACCGGCCACCCTCGGATTACCAGCAGATAACACAGGCAGGCCATGCTCCAGCGGCCAAGACATCTTGCCTTGTTACTCAGCTTGATGATCCGGAAGTAATGTTACAGATGTGCAGATAAAATTACAGCATCGGACTTCTATTAACTTGACAAAGTAAACAGCCATGCATTTGTGAATTTCAAAGGTATAGACTAAGGTAATGTTTTTGCATTTTTAAATAAATTCTTGCAGTCAACAGTTCATGTTAACCCTACTCTTAGTTTTAAAGTTAACTCTAACAATTGCTTATCATTATAGTTAAATAGTTAGCAAAGTACTATATCAACCCTAAGATCATACATTTAATGTTTATTTCTCTTAGTACAATTTAATGAAGGGAAGATAAGAGTCCCCTAAAGAATTAAAGGCAAAAGAAATAGTACAAGAGCTTAATAGAAAAGAGGTGGAAGATCCTGCTTAGAAAATAGTCAAATGCTGTCTTTTAAAATATATCCTATAAAAAAGACAATATTGACCTGATATTTTAGACTTCCATGGAATTTTTACCTTCATTCTCTGTATTCTAAGACAGTATGTATGCTAAAGGAAAGGTTTGAACACTGCCAACAGGACTCTAAGAGTCATTGTAGGTTATTATTATGTAGGCAAAATGTTCATCATGAAAGTTTTATATTTTATCAAATATTTTATAAGCTTGAATAAGTAAAATGTGCTAATTTGAAAACTGAAGCACTGTAGAGCATTCAGAAGAAATTCTGCTGGTCAGATCAGAAGGTTGAACAATTGCTCATGTCTTGAAGACATTTAATTATCAGTGGAGGATTCCCCAGCAGACTTAGAAAATGATAATATAGAAACATGTCCGTGTGCATGTGCTGATTGTTTTTGTGTTTTACTCGATAAAAATTCACATAAAAGACAATTCATCATTTAAACCATTTTAAAATGTTTACATCATGATTTTTAGTATGTGCACAATATTATACATCGCCACTAACTATAGAACATTTTTGTCACTCCCAAAATAAGCCCTACCTTCAATTTGCCCACCTTTGTAATTAAAAATCAACTTTCTTTCTCTTTATATGTGCTTAACTTAGCTATCTCTCATAAGTGGAAATGTATACTATATGTCCTTTTGTTCCTGGATTTTTTTCATTTAGAAAATATGTTCTGGATCTACTTATGTTGTAGCACATATTAATACATACTTCTTTCTAATGACATGCAAATATGTTCTGAAACTACTTATGTTATAGCATGTATTAATATGTTCTATTCTAATGACTGAATAATATTTTATTGTGCATATCACATTTTCATCAGATAATGGATGTTTGGATTGTGTCCACTGTTTACTATCATGAACAATGTTGCTATGATCATTTGTATGCAAGTTTTAGTGTGCCTGTATATTTTCAGTTCCTTTGTGTATTCCAGAAGCAGAAATCCTGGGTCCTATGGAAATCTACATTTCACTTTTTGAGGAACAGTGAAATTGTATGGTGGCTGCACAATTTTACATTTCTAACAGTGAGGTATGAGAGTTTAATTTCTTCATAGCTCTGTTTCATTTAAAAAATAATGTCATTAGCTGGGTGTGGTGGTGCACGCCTGTAACTCAGCACTTGGGAGGCTGAGGCAGGACGATTTTTGTGTTTGAGGCCAGCCTCAACTATAAAGTGATTTCAAGGATTCATTGTTCTAAGACTGCCATGTTATTTATGAAGTGATACAATATTAGTTCAAATTGTGCAGTGATACATCAAGAACACTACTGTAATCACAAGAAGAACCACATAAAGAATAATACAAAGACATAGCTAAAGTTAATATAAAATATGGAGTACATTGTAAAATAACAATAGCAGGTTAATTCAGAAGAAGTCAAGAAAGGATGAACAAGGATAAATTTCCAATGAGACAAAGAGAAAACACGTAGAGAGATGGCAGACATCAACATTATTTATATTAATTAGATTATATACAAATGGATTAAATGCTATAATAAAAAGACAGAGAAAGATTATGTGGATAGTATATCAAAATAAGATCCAAATACATCCCATTTACAAGAGAGATGCTTCAAATAAAGTATATAATTAAGTAAAAGAAAAAGAATGAAAAAATAAGCTACATTACAATAAATCATAAGAAAAGTGATGTGGTGTATTACTACCAGATAATGTATATTTCAGAGGAGAGAGAAGAAGACCAAGAGAGATAGAGATGGAATAGTAGAACATTTTATGACGTTTGAAAAAAGATCAATTTGCTATGAAGATGAACATTCATGTGTTGAACATGTACCTAATATCTTCGAGCCCTTCCTATGACAGTTCCATTATAATTTTAGCGATAGTTTAATCATTACTGTCACATGGGCCCACGCTTCTGTGGAGTACAATATATTTCCTGGACAGAAAAGGGGTGATTAGACATGATCTGCTCTTTGGCTTACTTATTCCCTGAAAGAAGGCCTCCAGTGCAGTGCATTTACTAGGAATCAGAGATGTAATATAAAGCCTGATGCTACTTCCAGCATCACAATAGTCACTCGAATTTTGCCGGACCTTTTCCTAGTGGGGAAATAGGGGTGAAAATACTTCTGACGCTTACATTAAAAAAAAAATATTTTATGGAAAAAAGGTAAAATAAAATTTCCTAACAAAATAATAGGACAATAACAATAGTTAACATATTCCATGTTGCTAGTAGTTGCTAAAGGTACAAGACATGGGCATAAAAATTTCTCCAACTGATATTAGCACACATCTTCCTTTCTAATGAACTAAGAGACACTAGTAGATAACTGATTTGCACTTTTTCCATTTTCACTACTGTCTTTTCTCCTTTTGCCTATGCTAGTTTCTTCTTCCTTTTGAATAATTTCTTCTCATTTCACAATATCTGTTGTACATTTTAGAACTTATTTACTCTTTCAGTTTCTCACACCATGGAGACAATCAATGTTTATACATGTCAGTCATATAAGTCTCATAAGTACTTATAAGTATTTCACTTATAAGTATAGTCTCAAGTTGCATCTGTTTACCTATAAAAGTCTCAAGTCTATCCTTCTTTATGGCTGCATAGTAATCTATTGTATAAAAAATGCTTCTTTTTTTTTTTATCCATTTCTTGGTTGATAGACGTTTGGGTTCTTTCCAAGATTTAGCTATTACAAATTGCACTCATATAAAAATGGGTGTGCATATATCACTGGGGTATGATGTTTTGAATTCTTCTGGGAAGACACACAGAAGGGGAATAGCTGGGTCTAATGGGACCTCTAATCCTAGTTTTCTGAGGAATCTCCAGAGTGATTCTCCACTGATTTCCACAGTGGTTGTACCAGTCTACAATCCCACCAACAGTGGAGAAAGGTTCCTTTTCCCCACAGCCCCTCCAGCATTTGTTATTGGTTGATTTCTTGATGATAGCCATTCTTTCTGGGGTGAGATGGAGTCTCAGTGTAGTTTTAATTTGTATCAGTGATGATGAACAGTGATGAATTGTTTCACATATTTACATGCATTTGTATTTCTTCATCTGAGAAGTGTGTATTCATTTCAGAGGCCCAATTTTGGATTGAATTTTTAAACCTGAATTGTCTAGTGTTTTTGAATTCTTTATATGTTCTAGATACAAGTCCTATGTCTGAGAGACAGTTTTTTCTCACTCACTCAGTTGGTGATTTCTTTTACTGAGCAAAAACTTTTTAGTAAGATGGGATCCCAGTCTCTGAAGTATTTCTGGTGCAGTCTGGGTTTTGTTCATCAACTCTTTAACTACGCTTATGTCTTCAAGATTTCTACCTACTTTCTCTTTCAGTAGATTTAGTGTTTCTGTTTAATATTTAGATCTTTGATACATTTTGGTTTTAGTTTAGTGCATGGTGATAGGCATGGGTCTAGTTTTAGTCTTCAGCATGTGGAAAGCCAGTTTTTCCAGCACCATTTATTGAAGAGGCTATCTTCCTTCCAGTGAACATGTTTGGCCCCTATGTCAAAGATAAGATGGCTGAGTGTGTTTGTAGCTGTGTCTGCATCTTCTAATCTGTTCCACTGGTTCTCAGGTCTGTTTTACTGCCATAACATGTTGATTTTATCACAGTAGCTTCGTAGTATAATTTCAAGTCTGGGATTGTGATGACTCCTTCCTTTTCTTTGTTGCCCAGAACTGCCTTTGCTATTCTAGGTATCTTCTGGTTCTAGGTGAATTTTAGGAACGTTTTCACTAGTTTTGTGAGGTATGCTAATGGTATTTTGAATGGGATTACATTAAATCTGTACAACAGTTTTGGGAGTATGGCCATTTTCACCATATTGACTCTTTGTATGTGTGAGCAAGGGATATCATCCTATTTTCTTATATCCTATTTGGTATTTTTCAGAGTACTGTAATTTTTAATATATAGATTCCTCACTTCCTTTGTTAGATGGATTCCTAAGTATTTCATTTTATTTGATGCTATTGTGAAGCATGTGGATTCCCTAATTTCTCTCTCAGTGACTTTGTTGTTTGTGTATAGGAATGCTACTGATTTTTGAGTGTTGAACTTGCTTCCAGCTCCTGTATTGAATTTATTATTAAATCTAGAAGTCTTTTGGTGGATTTTTTGAGTCTTCTATGTAGAGTATCAGGCCATCTGCAAATAATGATAATTTAACTTCTTCCTTTCTAATCTTTATTTGTTTTATTTCTCTTTCTTGTCTAATTGCCCTGGTTAGCCTTTCTAGAATTATATTGAATAAGAGTGTTGATAGTGGACATCCTTGTCTTATTCCTAATTTTAGAGTGAAAGCTTTCCACTTTTGTCCATTTAGTATGATGTTGACTATTGGTTTGTTGTGGATGGCTATCATTAGATTGTGATAAAGACAATATATTCTGATTTTTGATAGAGTTTTTTTTTTATCATGAATGAGTTTTGGACTTTGTCAAAAGCTTTTTCTGCATCTATTGAGATGATCTGTAATCTTTGTCACTGGCTCTGTTGATATGGTGTATTACATTTATTAATTTGCATTTGTTGAACCATCCCTGCATTCCTGGGATGAATCCCACTTGGTCATGTTGTATAATCTTCTTGATATTTGCTGTTTTCTGTTTGGTACCATGTTGTTGAGGATATTTGCATCTATGTCATTAGGGAGGTTGGCCAGTAGTTCCCTTTTTTGTTTGAGACTTTCTTTGCTTTTGGTACTGGGAAATACTTTCCTCCAGAAAAGAGTTATGGAGTATTGCTTCCCTTTCAATTTCATTAAAGAGTTTGAGGAGTATTAGTACTAAATCTTCCTTAAATTTCTCATTGAATTCAGTATTGAATGCATCAGGTCCTAGGTTTTTCTTTGTTGGCATATTTTAAATTACATTTTCACTTTCATTTACTGACATTGGGCTATTCAGAATTTTTATATCATCTTGATACAGCTTTGGTAATCCATGTGTATCTAGGAATCTGTCCATTTCTTCTGTTTTTCATCCTATGCAAATAAAGTTTTTCAAAGTACATATTGATGATCTTCTGAATTTCCACAGGATCTGTCATGATTTCACCCTTTTCATTCATCATTGTATTAATTTGATCTTTTTCCTCCCTTTTTTATAAAATTGGCCAAGGGTTTATCAACTTTATTCATTCTGTCAAAGAAACAAATCTTAAGTTCATTAATTCTTTGTATTGCTTTCTTAGTCTCTATAGCCTTAATTTCTGCTCTGATCTTTATAATTTCTTCTCTTTTATGTTCTTTGTGCCTGACTTGCTCTTCTTTTTCTGGAAGCTTGAAGTGCAGCATTAGGTTGTTTAATTGTGCTCATCCTGTTTTCCTTGTGTGAGAATTCATTACTGTAAATTTCCCTCTGAGGACTTCTTTCATTGTGTCCAACAGGTTCCAGTATGTTGTATCTGCATTTTTGTTTAACTGTAGATATTATTTAATTTCTCCCTTAATTTAATCTATTATCCATTGGTTGTTCAGGAGAGTGTTATTTTAAGTTCCATATGTTTATGAAGTTTTTGTTTTTTCTTTTGCCATTAATTTCCAATTTAATTGCACTATGGTAAGATAATATACATGAGATAATTTGAATCTTTGCATGTGCTTAAGAATGTTCTATGGGCTAGTACATGGTTTATTTTACAGAACATCCCATGTGCACCTGAGAAGAATGTGTACTCTGATGTTATTGGGTTGAATACTCTGTAAACATTTATTAAGTGCACTTGTTTACAGGTTTGATTTTGTTCCTATATTTCCTAGCTGATTTTTATCTCATTGATCTATCTACTCCTGATAGTGAGTTATTAAATTCCCCCATAACAATTGTGACATTGCTCATTTGATTTTTCATTTCTATTAATATTGGTCTTAGTTAGTTGTGTGCTCCCATATTTCGTGCATACACATTTATGATTATTATCTCCTCCTGTCAAAGTTTTCCCCTAACAAGTATGTCATGACATCCTTTTTCCCTTTTCATCATTCTTTTTCTTGTCTTTTGAGACAGGGTCTCACTATGCAGTTCAGGCTGGCCTTGAACTCACTTTGTAGCCCAGGCTGGTTTTGAACTCACAACGATCCTCCTGCTTCAACCTCCTGAGTGCTAGGATTACAGGTGTGCGCCACCAACTCTGGCTTCCTTTGATCATTTTTGATTTTAAATTCACATTGTCTACAAACAGAATAGCTTTCCATGCTTTCTTCTGGGTTCCTGTTTCATGGAGCATTGTTTTCCGTCCTTTGCTTTTAGACTATGAATTTCTATTTGAGGTACATGTGTTTCTTGTTACAGCATATTTTTTTTTTGTACAGGCAATCAAACTCATGACCTCACGCATGGCAGGCAGGTGTTGTGCTGCTGAGCTATATCCCCAGTCCTACAGCATATTGTTGCATCTTATTTCTTGAACCATTCTGCCAGTCTGTTTGTTCTCACTGGTGAATTGAGGCTATTTACATTGATGATTATAACTGATATAGATTGGTTTATCTTTGTCATGCTATTTTCCTGCTGTTGGTTCCCTGCTTTTTTCCTGTTTAATTGCTTTCCCTGCATGGTGGTTTCTTTCTTTGGTTGTTCTTGGAATTATAGTCATTTTTATCTCTGTCTAGAATATCTTTCAGTACCCTTTGAAGTGTTGGTTTAGCGGTCATAAATTTCTTCAGTTGTCTTTATCTTGGAAGTATCTTGTTTCTCCAGTAATTTTGAAAGATAGTTTTGCATGGTCCATCAATCTGGGTTTGAAGTTGTTTTCTTTCAGGACTCGAAATACTTCACTGCAAGCTGTTTTTGATGTGATAGTTTTTTTGGAGACATATCTCTTGATTCTGATGGACTTTCCTTTGTGGGGGATCTGTTTCTTTTCTCTAACTTCTTTTAAAATTCTGTTCTTGTGCTGAGTTTCTGGGATCTTGGTTATTATATGTCTGGGTATAGACTTACTTTGGTTATGGCTAATTGGAGTTCTATATGCCTCACTTAATGTATGTCAGAGTCTTAAGCTTGGGAATTTTTCTGCTATTCTGCAGATTCTTTTATGTTATTTTTGTTGACTCCTGTTTTTTCATTGACACCAGTTATTCTTATATTATTTTTGTTTGCATCATCTTGCAGTGATTGAATTGTTATTTCTTGACCTTTTGTTAATTTCAAGAGATCTCTCATGACAGCTAGCTATGATCCTGTCTTCACAGTCAGAAAGTCTGTCTTTCGCTTTGTTCAAGCAGTTTTGCCAGCTTTCAAGGGAATTTTTAATTTCCTGTGTATCTGTTTGAATCCTTTCCATGCATTCTATTTCTTTTCTATATTTATCATTCATGATTTTCATCCTTTTCTTATCATCATCTATTTTTTATCTATCTTGACTCTAGGCTTGTTGAGCAATTCCTTTATGAATGTTGACATTTCTTTTTTTTTATTTGAGGGAATTTTTCTGATATGATTTCCTGTATAACCTCATGGATTTGTTTCTTTCCTTTGGTTGCTATCATTTCAGAAATATCAGTTGGGTATCTTTCATTTTCCTCTAGTTTGTTGTCTTCTGGACTTGTTCTGGGTGACCTGGAGGGCTGAGGTTGCATCTTTCTTCTGTGTCTTGTCATTTTGTATTTTAAAAGTTTTTATTTTGTTTTCTGTATTGATCCATGTAAATTTTTGTAGTAGGTAGTTTTGTCACTAGTATCGAGGCCTCTTTAGGAAAACTTTGTTCTTCTGGGATGTTTTCTATGTGTAGGAGCGTCTTGGTTGTGTCTGTCCCAAGATCCTATGTTTCCAATTAACTTATAGTGAGATGTTGGTATATACTTGGCTCAGTCCCAGTCTTTGATACTGGGATATGATAAAGTTATTACCCCCCAACTTGCCAGTATTGTTACAGAAGTGAGACAACTGATTAAAACAGATATGACATCCTAGCTAAAGTAGTAATTAGCACAAAGAATAGCATCAAGAACAGTTAAGGAACTGCCAAACTGTGGTAACTATTAATTTTGTACCTTTAACCATAGATACAAAATCTATAGTTATATAACAGAACTGATTGTAAATTGGAAGCTGGTCTTCAAAGTGTTTCCCCTTGGTAGAGTGGTTTTACCCTGTGTTGGGGAAATTTAAGCAGGAGAGTGGATAGAACAGGGACAACAGAAAAAATAAAGTAGAGATGAAGGATGATCACACAAGATTTGGGGAACTAGAGAAGAGGACAGAAGGGAAAGAATGAAGGAGTAAACTAGGGATTATTGAGGTTGACCAGAAAAATTAGACAAACTCTTCACTGATAGGAAAATATAATTAAATTAGAGGGGTAAGTGAGAAAAAGAGGAAAGAAGACAAATAGATTAAAAGAAAAATATAGGTAAAAGAAAAAAATGAAAAGGAATGGGAAATAAACCAACAAAGAAGAAGAAAAATATAATAAAATTTTAAAAATTCCTCTTGTGTCCACCGAGAATCCAAAACTACTGGATAAATGTGCCATAGAGTTTGTGCTGAATTTAAGGCTAATGTTTGCCTTCAGGTTTGGGGGCCTGGGGCCAGAGTCTTCAGCCAGTATTTTTTGTAATTCTCTTACTTGTCTCTCTTGGTGGCAATTCTTCCCTAATTACTGTGCTGTTTTCAGACAAAGACAAGGGGCTGTTCCCTGTATCATGCACCTTTGGCTCCTCCTGGTCCTTGTTCAGACTTCTGTGTTCCTCTTCCACTGGTAAGTCTCTGTCCTCTTAGGTTGTTTATTGCAGGGTGGAATGGGATACTGTGATATAGTCTGGTCCTCTACTCCTGCTGTTGCAGTCCAAGGCTTCTCAATCTCAGTTCTTCCTCCTCTTCTGAGGTGTGGTGCTAACTTCCCATTTGTGGCTTTACAAGTACTGCTGCCACCATCACTCACCTCTACTATATTCTGTAACTTCTCTGGGTGAGATGGGGGCATGCCTTTCTGCTCCCATCCCCGCTGGCATGGGGACAACATAGGGCTGCACAGTCCCAAGGTGCAAGTTTCTTTAATTCCTCATGCCTGTCTAAGCATAGGTCATGGGGGAAGAGTTAACTGTTCCATTTACTACAAACCCCTGTAGTTTTTAATTTTATTCCTAGTGATTCCAGTTAGTTTTCTGGTGAACAAAAGGAATGGGTGGAAATGAAAAAAGAAAAGGAAAATAAAAGAAATAAAAGAGACAAAAATAAAGAAAAAAATGAAAAGAAAGGAAAACTGGCTGATCATCAGGGAGGGAGCAGTTCATGTTGATAGAATTTACTGCTGGATTGCAACATCTTCTGTTTGGAGGAAGGCATAAGAGGAAGGGGACCTTATATCCACATCTATCCTCTATGGCTGGATTTAGGCACATTAATTTAGTATATACTTCTTCTCCTCCTCCTTCTCCGTCTCTTCCTCCACCTTCTCCTTCTCCTCCTCTTTCTGTTCCTCCTCCTCCTCCTCCTCCATCTCCTCCCATTCCTCCTCCTCCTCCTCCTCTTCCTTCTCCTCCTCCTCCTTCTTCTATCTTCTTTTAAGATTCCAAGTATGGTGGGCAGTCACCCCAATCTGGCAACACACTGGCAGTTGGGTGGATTGGCTGGCCATTTTATTAAGTCTTTTATCTATGTTGTGCTTGATAAATGTTGTGTCTCATGTCATATTAATTTTAGTTTCAGGGTGTGTGTCCCTCCAGTTTCTTCCAATTACTTGTGTTTTAGTTGAATTTCTCTGAGTAGCTCTGAATGAGGCTCCTCTTCTAGTCAGCCATGTTGTCTCCTCCCCTGATACTTACTTTTTAAGTTCCTTAGAAAGCTACAATGAGGTAACATGTGTAGTGCATGATAGAAATTATGAGTTGTTAAGGGCACAGTTAGGAGCTTGATTTTTAGCACCTGTATTATGCTGGCATGTGTGAAGTTGATGGCATCCAGGTTCTTTTTCCTTATTAATCAACCTAGACTATTTTTATTTTGAGTCCTTTACTGATAGAGCTGAAGGAGAATGACAAGCAAAGAGAACTTGAGAAAGCTTATTGTGCTCTGCCCTTAGTTGTAGGCTTCTTGTTTCCTAAAAAAGAGAGAATTGTTTGGATTTTAAACACGATAATTAAACTAGCAGGCAAATCCTAAGGCAAAGAAAATATTAAACAAAAAATACAAAGAACTTGACCAAACTGAATTTTTTCTCTTTTGTGGTATTCGTGATTGAATCCAAGATATTCCCACTGAGCTACATCTCTGGCCATCTTTAATATTATCTAGTTTAAAAAATGGTCCAAACCAAGCCTCTAAACTGTTCAGACTGTGTTTGAACTTGTGATCCTCTTGCTTACTCTCCCAGAGTGCTGAGATTACAAACATGCACTACCACATTCAAACTAAGGTCTTCTAATATATTATTTTTCACTTAAAAAGTGGTTTTCCATTTTGCTTGTTTCTGGAGATAAGCTGGTTTCCATATACAAAGAGAATAGAACTCTTTGTGTTATTTGTCTTTCAGGAGAAGTGTATTTTTGTGTCATAAAATGTCCCTGGAATGAGATGATGTTACTAGAACAAGATTATTTGGCATTAAAAAGTTATAGGACTAGTAAAATTAAGACTTAGTGAAGTTTAAAATTATATATATATATATTTATATTTATAAAATTGGATATTAATTTTATAAGTGAAGGCCTTGCAAAATAGAGTGAAACTTTTAAAAATAGTGTATTATTTGAAAGTTACTTAGTAATCTAGAATTAATATAAGTGCTATATTTAAATGATGTCTAAGTGTTATTAAAATCTTTATAATACTTGAAGATTTAGAAATATTTTCAGGAATAGTATCAATTTAATATAATTAATCAGTACAAGTATAATCAGTACAAGAAATTTGTGTAGAGTTTCTCAGGTATTTTTGTATTTAAAACATTGATATTTTGTTTCATGGGATACACACACACACATATATGTGTATACACACACACACACACACACACACACACACACACACATGTACTTTATCCAGTATTTGCAGAAAAGACTACTTTCTATGTAGCTGTATGAGTCTGGATCTTTGTATGCTTCATTATGTCTTTAAAAAAACAACAATGTTTGAATGTTGACTATTACAGTTCATTTCCTTGTTTATTTGTTAACTTCCTTAATACACCATAAGCATATGCAGTGCTTGCACCATGACAGACTATTTTTCTCTAGTAGATGCAGTTTATTATTCAATGAAACCTGAAAAATGTAGGAGACTGTGGTGGACTGATAACACAGTCAACTGGTGGTCAACTTGTAACACCCAGCTGAACTTAACCGGTGTGGTGCTGGGTGTGGGAGGCTCACCTGAAGATTGTTGCCACAGCATAAGAGGCAGAACTGCAGAAGAAGAGAGGCTGTTGGGAGCTTAGTGAGGCTGTTGGAAGCTGGGAGAAGCTGTTGGGAGCCTGCTGGAACTGAAAGTGTAAGGAGCAGTTGGTTCTCTTAGAGGAGCTTGTCATACTGGTTTTCCCGATGAACTCGGCTGTTTTCCTCCTCTAAGGAATTCAGGACCTTGTTGTTTCTGAGCATCGCTTTCTGACTCTGGAGGGGAAGACGGTGCACTGCTCAGTCTCCTGGAGAAGCTTGTCATATCGGCTTTCCTGATTGGAACGTGACTGTCCTGATCATCAGAGGAGCTCAGGACTTCACTGTTGCTGAAGATGGCTGTGGTACTTTTGAGGGGAACTCTGGTTCTTATTTTGAGTGTCGCTTCCTGTCTCTAGTGAAGATCCCTCAGCCTGCTAGCACAGATCATTCATCCCACTGGCACAGACTTTCTAGATTCCAGCATTGACCTTTGGGCTTTCCAGAACAGATCCATGAAACAGGCCTGCATGAGCCATTGTTGTGGGCTCTAGGTCTCCAGCTGGACTCATGGGAGGCACTGTTATGGGCTCTATGTCTTCGGCTGCATTCATGCAGGACAGTTCTGTGGGATCCAGGCCCTTAGCTGAATACTTGGTCTTTAGTGTGTAGATGCCCTGTACTCTCTTGTTTATGATTCTTTGGGTGATTATTATAAATACTCTTATAAAATATGTGTCCAGTATTATATTATTCTCACTTGCAAGAAATACCAAACCAACACATAGATATTATAGGTAAGTTATAAGGAAAAGAAATAAAAGTACTACTGGGAACTATTCTTCAGCTAGCTTGACAGTATTACAGGGACAGTATGAGGTGTTATAAGGAAAGATAAAAGAGTCTGGATTCTAGTTTGTTTCAAAGTACAACATATGACTTCAGAAAGATCCATCTCCAATGGAGAATCAGTTTCCTCATCTGTGAAATGGGGGATAACAATCCCTGCCCAGTAACACTACTGTAATGATGATATCAAACTATGTTTGTAAATAATTTAATGCAATGTTAGGAATAGGTATGTAGCAAGCACACTAGAATCAACAGTGCATTGAAAATGAAGTTTTCCCTCAAAGTAGGGTATGAGAAGTTATCTCATCCTCATACTGACTACTCAGTATCTCTAAATAGATGCCTAATTAAAAATTGTCAGGTTATCTCAGGAAAAACTTTCTTGGAAAAGTAGGTTTTCTGTCACATTATTCATTATCAGGACTTTACGGCTGTGGTTTTTCAGTAAGTTTGTGTGATGTAAAAAATGGTTATTGATGTTACTGATTATCAGTGTATACTTTTCCCACAGTATAATCTATTTATAACTTGCAGAAAATATATGATTTGTTTGGAAAATTGAGGTGAGCCACAAATTATTTTAAACAAGAAGTGAGTTTCTATCTTCTTAAATTAACTAATCTCTCAGCATACAGTTTAATTGAATTATTTGCCTACAGGCATACAGTAATTAATTTTCCCATTCAAAAGCTATGAGCATAATGTTTCCTTGAAAGAAGAATGCCAGTTAAAAATAGAAAAATCTATACATATATGTACTATAGGTAATTGGAAAATGTTGCTAGGCTTTTATTGGTTCTTTGATGAGTAATCCTTTATTTGTTTGTTTGTTTGTTTTTTTTTTTTTTTTTTTTCTACTAGGAATTCAACTCAGGACCTTGAGCTTGCCAGGAAGGCACTTGTGCCTCTGAGTTGTATCCCGGGCTCCAGTAATCCTTTATTTGAAAGCAAATCTATTTATCATTCCTTGATCAGGGTGCAAAAGTTTTATTCTTACATGGCTACTTTATAATACATATCCAGATCACACTAGTAATTTCACCCTGGTTTATTCAGAAGAATAGGGACAAGATAACTAATATACTTTTCATGAGTTGATTAAGAAGAAAAGAACTGGTTTGAATTCTTCTTGACTTAACCCATATACTTTAGAAAAACAGTTATTCATCTTGTTTAGTGAAATCCTGCATAGTTTCTACTTTTTAAATTTTTTTCATTCTTTTTAAAAAGTACTGGTTCTATTAGTTTTCACATGCTGGTATTTAATAGTCAAAATCTGCAACTTAAAAAAGGAGAAACTTACTTTGGTTTGAGAAGATTCAGTGCATAGTTGGCCAGTCCCAGCAAGAACATCACGCTGGAAGGGTGTGGAAGGGCAAAGCTGCTTGTGTTGTGGTGGCCACGAAACAGAGGAGAATAGTATCAGAGAGGAAGAAGCCAGAGAACAGATATAGCACCCAGGGTGCTGCTTCCACTATCCACCCAGACATGCCCAGAAGTATGCTTTACTAATCTCCTGGGCACCTC